TTAAAATCTTTCCTTGACCTCATGAAGTTTTATACTGAGGTAAAAAAAAAAAAAAGACAAAAATGTCATCCATACATCTATCCATCCAATTCAGGGTCATGGGGGCTGGAGTCCAAGCTGACATTAGGTGAGATGCATTCACATTCACACCTAAGGCCAACTGAGAATCATTAGTTGTACCCTGAGAGAACATGTAGCCTGAGAGAACACAGAAAAGGCCAACAGGTTGAGACCCAGACCCACCTTGCTGTTGAGGTAACAGTAATTACCACTATACTATCGGTTGCCCAGGAAACCACAACCCATAAACACAAAGAACTTTGAAGTGACTCTACTATACTACTCTCTTATGTCTCAGTGTCATATTTTTTTTTTATTTTATTCATCACGTTTCTTATTATTGCAATTTTTTGCTTTTCGTGATGCTTAGAAAACCGCATGTACAGAATATTCAGTCGGCATATCCTGAGTGCCATGCCTGTCTTTTACCATGTCAGGACCCAACCTAGCAGTGACCATGGATACCACAGTTTGCCCTGCACCACTGCAACAGTCCATCACTGTAATCTATATGGTAATACTGCAAACAGTTTAGCCTGCACCTACTGTATTAATTGAATAAAATAAAACAATAAAATAAAATAATTTATCGGTTTGCTGTAAAAACAATTTCTCTATACGAAATAATGAGATAGCATAACTAGCAACACATCACTGCAATTAAAAAATAATAGCATGAAAAAAACCTAACAATACTACATTTAAGTTTCCAAGTTTAGTTGTGTTGAGATTGCAAAGAAAGCTACATTTGTTATTTCTTAATTGTCTGACTGATTTCTAAATTAGGTCGCTGACTGATCTATACAAAAAAATCATAGTGCTTGTAGCCAAAGGTGTTTAATTTTCAAATTGTTTGATTTATTAAATCAGCAATACAAAACTCAAAGATATTCAGTTCAGTACCTCATAAAACAAAGAAAAGATCAACTGGGATTAGAGGAATTAGGCACATTGTGTTTCAAAATTACTTTATTAGTCAATCATTAAAATAATTACTTAGTGATACCTTAATTCCATTAAAGGACACTATTTGCTGCAGTTAAAATGTGTTAATAAATCTCCTCTGACCTGTAGGAAATATTCAAGAATTAAAAAGAAAGAAAAAAATAGACTGGGTAACATCTAATTCACATTCAGAGAAGGAAAGTAAATGTTTGTTTGGGTTTTTTAGGGGTTTTTTTCCAGGAGTTTGTGTTCTTAAGCATTTCTTAAGACTCCTGGGAGATATATATATATATATATTTTTTTTGATATTTTCTTTTAGGTTTTAAAGGGTAAAGTGCAACAGATTAATGCTGTTATGTTTGGATCCCCAAGAGGTTTGTCAGTCTCAAAGATAACGGCATCTGCTGCCTGTCACATGCTATTCTACTGACAACTGCTGGCAGCAACACACAAAGAAAGCTAGTGTAAATAATGAACAATGTAAAAATAACAATGTGCTTCAGTAAGTGATACTGAATATAAACTTAAAAAAAACAGAGTACCTTAAAAAACACATTTATGTTTAGTTTCTCAAGCAATCTTTACACCAGCGGTCCCCAACCTTTTTTGCGCCACGGAGCGGTTTATGCCCGACATTATTTTCACGGACCGGCCTTTAAGGTGTCGCGGATAAATACAACAAAATAAAACTAGTACTGGTACCGAAAAAAAGAAGATTTATTCATAACACACGTGAAAAG